TTGTAAAAAATTTTCTGACAATTTTATGCAAGTAAAACAACTTTTCCAGGGGTTTTCGACCACGGCGAACATTTTGAGATACTCGGCGCATTAATAGGACGTATGGCTGAGGAGCTGGGCTGTGGGGGGGGGTAAACTGCACTTAAGCCTATAGGTGTATTGTGTACTACGTGTCGGCCTGTTTTGAGACCTTGTAAGCTATATATCTCGTGATAGTGATTTTTCCGCCAAGTTTTTTCAACTGATCCTGACTCAGCTCGACCTGCTGAGCATTTTGACATATAAAAATCCAAAATCCGTTTAGTGACCGGATACTTCAGTAGCCAACTTTGAAGTATCATATCTCGAGATAGAAGCGTTGCCGCCAAGTTTTTTCAACTGATCCTGAATCAGCTCGACCTGCTGAGCAATTTGACATATAAAAATCCAAAATCTGTTTAGTGACCGGATACAGCAATTTTCCCTAAAACTGTATGAAGATACCTCCCAATGAAGTTACTGGGCATTTCTAGCCTTATGCAATGTTTATGCCTCCCCCGATAATGCAAAAGAACCTTTTAAAAAGAACGAGCAACAAACTTAAATTTTGAAAAACGAAAGCCGGTGTAAAATTGGGCCCGATCCGAGTTTCTTCCGGACCGCTAGAGGTAGTCGAACTTGCTGCAATCTCCGCAGCTCCACGCCCTTGCAAGGTATCAGAAAATAGCGTTTCCGGCGCGCCCGCCAAATTTATTCACATCACAAAGGCAAATCAGAAGAAGGTAAGGATATTGGAGGCGAAGAAGGTGACGACGGGGAGCACGAGGTACGAGGCCGTCGACGATTGCTTTTTGGCCGCTTCTTCAGCGCGCTGCTTCATTTCGGTCATCGGGATCTTGTTGCACAGATCGCCTTCGCAAGAATGGCCCGACATTGTCGCATCAGCTGAACGAGACACATGAAAAACTACATATTCAAAGAGTTCGGGGATCTTATGCTCGGGAGGGGAAGAGTGAAAGGTTCTTGACTGTTAGCAAGGCGGTTTTAGAGGGCGTAGAGGGCGTAATGGTTAATATACCAACATGTTGGCCTTGCTCTGGCGAATATTTTGGTGTACGTAACACACCAGTAGGTTAACGGGGAGCCGAGATGGGGTAAACTGCACTTAAAGGGCATCTCGCAGCAGACTGCTTTTCCACGAATCGTGGAAGCGTCGCGGTCGGGTGCGTCGCGGCAGGGAGAGAAAGAGCGCGCCCAGAGGAGAGACGCTGACAGAACTCTGCGTTTCTGCCCGGCCCCCAAAATGCCGTAATCGGTGTGCTGCGAGAGCCGCTTTAAGCCTCACATAGTTTTTAGATATAAAAACAATATAAAAATAATACAGAAAATAATAATGAATTTTGAAATGGTTTTAATATTTTAATTTTCGGTTTAAATTGTTTAAAAATCATCCCGAACGGAGCTGCTGGCCGCTAAAGGCAGTACTTTTTTGGGACACCCAGGAGAGGTTTTCCCTATCTTCTTTGGCCGAAACCCCACTTACCTTTCGGTAGCGGAATTGATCCATAGCCGGGCGCCCACTTCTCCAGCCAGATCCCGGTGGCGCAGGTGCGCACCTCCAACTGCTCGACGGTCGCTTCCGGAGTCTTCGAGTCGATGTGCATGTGGACGCACTTGTTGGTACCCGAGCACTTCTTTGTCGAATCCTGCATGAAGGCATTAGTGTAGTTTTGAGCCGAATAATCCACCCTTAACGTCTTCGCGCCGATCTGGAGGCCTCTGACGCCGTTGAGGATCGAGACGAATTCCGGTCTAAACAAAGCGGTTTGGGAAGCGCTGGTATTCATTTTTGGCTATGTTTTCGCAATTAAGTATGCTGATTTTGAGTAATTTTCTCCGAAATATGTTCATTCGGCCCGGTTTTTAGCGAATTTTGATAAGAAAGCTAGGAATACCCAAATTTAACGTGATTTTGGTAAATCAAGAAATCAAAAAAGTGGATAAAGTGTCCCCTTCATTTTTGGCTAAACATTTCGAGCTCAAACCGTGTCAAACTCCTGGTGGCAGAGGGAGAGTAGAACGAAAAACTCACATCGCTGCCATAGGGGCGAGGGCCTTCGCCTCGCCGCCCTGATGCAGCGGCAGCAGTCGGCGCGGGCCACGTCGATCAGGTAGAAGCCGAGCAGGCAGGTGAGCAGAAGAAGAACCGGAACGCGAGCCATCGTTGTTATGAAATAAGTCCAGGTGCCGGTGAAATCTTTTTATATCTGGGCCCATATGTGCAATTTCGGGTTCAATCCGTTCCAGGATTGAAATTACTTTTGGGAATTTGAAGGATGCAAATTGCAATCCATCTGGATGGCTAATTGCCAGAGGTGCACAGTGCTGCCTTGTTAAACTTTTCATGGTCCCGTCATGAGTGTTCAGGTGTGTCCTTGGGCAGGCTCGATTTGAGGGACTTTGGGAAAAAATAGTGTATAATATGTTCCCAAATCCTCCACCATAGGATCTGATTTGCTCAAGTCATTTCGACGATTTTCGGGACAGCACATGCCCATGAAATGCGACAAGGAATAAGGCGTTCCCGGCGCGCCCGCCAAATTTATCTCACATCACAAAGGGCAAATCAGAAGAAGGCAAAGGATATTGAGGCGAAGGAGGTGACGACGAGGGAGCACGAGGTACGAGTGTCGTCGATGAGCGGTTTTTGGCGGCCGCAGGCTTGAAGTGCTGCTCCACCTGGTCTGTCGACAGCTTGTTGCGGCTGGAGATTGCCCTCGCAGGCGTGCCACATAACCTCGAAATCACCCAAAAGAGGGATTCGTGGCAATTGGAAAAGCATTTTGGGCTTAGAGCGGGCTATTACAGAGATTATTAGGGAAAATCAATGGCGAGCATTTTGACCAGAAATTAGGTTGATAGGATAATGACCTAATTTATCCCCCGCCCCGAGCCCCAACCCTTCAGCCATACGCCTTATAAATCCGTGGGGTACCTAAAAATTTTTTTTGATATTTTCAAAGAGTTTTCAATGTAAATTTTTCGAACGCTATTCGATAAGCGCATCGGTGTCATACTAAGAGTTTTGCAGCCTAAAAAACTTTCAAAATTGGGTTGATGGCTGTTTTTCGACATTTTACAGATGCCAGTCTGATAGAGCATCCAAAAATATACTAAGAGTTTTAATTTTAGTTGAAAATAATGTAATATAAAATATTTATGACGAAATAGATATTGAACTTGTTTAAATGGAGGATATAGCAAGAAAGCAAAATTTAACAAAAACGCAAAAAAAAATAGTTGAAGTTGGCCCCAACTGTCTGTCCCTTTCACGCATCAAATCCCGCCCCCCCGCACCAACCTCCTTATACTCAACTTTCTCGTTCTGATAGCCGTTTCCCCCATTTTTCGCTTCACCGATGTCGGGACGCATGTACCCGGAGTCCCAGCTGCCGGTCGGTCGCGCCAGGCTTCATGTTGAAAAGCGAGTGGAGGCACTTGTCAGTGCCTTGGCACTTCCGTATCGAGTCCTTCTCAGTAGCGCAATCGATTGCAGTAATCACCACGATTTTGCCTTCGCGTGCCAACAATTAAGACTGATCTTCCGTCGCCAAACAATGGGCCAAACTTACTTGCTAAAATGAAAATCTTGCCGGCGTGCGGGACAACGGATAAAGTGGCAAGATAGTGCTGATACCGGGCTAAACTCGAGTTTCCCCAGCCCCTAGCTTTTCCAGACGTAAGTCGTGGCTAATGCCTAAAGTGCCTCAAAATGTTCGCCGTCAAATCGAATTACTATAAAAAAGTTGTTTCCTACTTCAAAATTGTTCGGAACATTTTTATAACAATCTTAAATCCGGATTTTCTTTGGTTCGTTTTTGCTGGTCCAAAGCGAGTTTTCGTATCTCGGCGCACGGCGAATTTCCAGAGCCAGTCAATTGTACGAAAATGTAGCTCTTGTTCTGGTAAAATCAGCCCCACAGTACCTTCGAATCGGTAAAAATAGCGCTAAAAAAGAAAATATTCGTGTGATACTTAATATTTTCAATTTCCAAAACTTATAAAAAAAATTCCTAGCAATTTTTGGCGTCAGGAAACTACTTTTCATGATGTATTTTCACCACGGCATAATTGAACAACTCCATGCCAAATAAACCTAAAATCCGCAGTATATTTTTGCTGCTCTGCCGTATGGCAAATTCAGAATGCCGAAAATAGCGAAAATATGGAAAACGAGCTATTTGAAACCATCTTTGAAAGATCATTTTGATTTTTGGCCTAACTTTTTTATGTCCGAATGTGTTGATTTGTAGTAGTTACACGCCTAGTAATGGCGTCAAGAGGGCCCCGAAAAAGCGGTAATCTCTAAAAATTTTGGGACCCTGGGGGTAAAGCACGCAGTGAAGCGATGGAGTCAAGGGCAAAATCACAATGAACCTACTCATCTTTCAGACGGATGTAATCCATTAGGTCACCATGCAAACAAGTGTAGCAGTCGGCGCGGGCCACGTCGATCAGGCAGCAGCTGAGCAGGCAGGTGAGTAGAAGAACGATCGCAGCGCGAGCCATCGTTTTTGGTGAAATAATTTACGGGTGTCGGCGAAGCTGTTTTATCCGGCCATCAGGTTAAATTCCGGAGTTGAAGCTATGCAAATTACCCATTCCTGGGTATGATTACGCCAATTTTTTGGCCTAGAGCCTGATTTTTACATTTAAAGCAGTAGAAGCTGTAAGTCGCGCGGGTTCTGGATTTTTGATTACAGTGCATATTTTGCTGGGAATAGGGATGTCAGCATACCGCAGTTGCACCTTGAAGCCGCTTGCCCGCAATGCGTATCTCTTTTTTGTTTTTTTTTTTGTCAAAATTCACCCGGTGTGGTCCAAAAATAAAGCGGCAATTTTCGGCCTCTGCTTGCCATTTGTATGGGAATGTATGGGAAATCGGGAAAAGTTCTAAGAAATGGGCTAAATTTCAAGGGGCCATATCTCGGTCATCCAGTGTCCAATTTTGACGATCTCAACATCGATCGATATCTACTCCTCGAGAGCTATCGATTGGTGCTAAAGGTATCCCATGCAAATTGTTCTATGCAGAGATAACTTGCAAAAACAATTTTTTGGTGATTTTGTGAAAAACTTCTTGGGCTTGTATCTCGGCTCTCCTTGCTTTTGGCGGTCTAGGACCCGCCTCCCGGAACGATTCAGGCCGAGAGCTACAAAATGACGTATCGCATGGGCAGAATGGAGCTATCTACGAATTTAGCCAGCATTTCAAAATCGATTTCAAAATCGGCGACAGGACTTACCTTCCAACCTGATATAAACTCTAGGAAATTTCCAGATTCTTGCCAGCTGCACGCGGGCGTCGGTTCCGAACTCCCTGAATTACGGAAAAGTCGAATTTTTTATGCAAATTCGAAAGTCCGAAGCCACCCAACGATTTCAGCATATAAAATTTCCATCTTGGAGGCGCTTCACCGGAAAGTGCTGCATATTTGCATCCGAAAAGCCATGTATAAAAGCAGACACCCATTTCTTCAAATATCGCTCCATCATTCCTTCAAGATGTCAGGACGTGTTCCGGTTCTTCTTCTGCTCACCTGCCTGCTCGGATTCTACACCAACACCGTGGCCGCCGACTGCTACCAGTGCGCCGAGGGACTATCCTCCGGAGAGGCCGCTGTGTAGGTTGTTTTAGTCATTTACCCAAGTTGAAAGCCGCGCGGCTTTTAAACTCACATCAACCCGCCCCCCGCTAACCAACCAGAACCGAGACGCGTTTTGGCCCGTCAGAAGTTTGACCACTAAACCCATCCCATTTCAGGCTCACCGACTATACCGCTGGCATCACAGACCCCAAGCCCTGCGCCTCCATCACCGAGGTACACACGTGGCAACGGCAGCACGACTATTTAATTTCAGGGGACGACGCCGACGTGCCCGGGCAATAAGTGCATCCACATGGTTGTTGACGCGCAGCCAACGGTGCACCTTCGGAACTGTGCCACGCCAAAAGCCTTGGAGAAATGGGAGACTGGAGCGGGGAAGAAAGGAGGTAGCAAAGTTACTAGACGCTGTGAATTTTTTAGTTGTAAATTTTTCGATCTGTTTCTCTATAGCTCTATAAGCTAAATAATAGGACCCCAGGGTTGAAAAACCGCTTCGCGGCTTTTCAACCCTGGACCCGTCTAGGACTTCTGAAAGTTTGACTTTACATAAGGCTTGCCGAATGCGGCTCACCAAAAATGAAAACCCGACGCTCCCTCCATTTTTATAGGCCACGGCCACTTCCGGTCAATGCCAATTGTCTCCTAACAAAGAGGTTTTTCGATATATTTACAAAAACTTAATTTTAATAGCGAAAACAGCCGATTTTCTTCAATTTTATATGTGTGCACCCATCTCGGGACCATTACGCACCTAATGACGTATCATACGTATCTTAAAAACCTTCCCCTGAGGCTGTAGGTGCGGTACATACTTACGGAAGTTGCATGCAACTATACACACACACAGACACTATTTTTTTATATATTAACCAGGGTTGAAAAGCCGCTTCGCGACTTCTCAACCCTGGCCCCATCTAACTCCATTTTTTTCACTCTGCATACGTCTCGCGAATTCGGTTGAGAGAAAATGAAAAATTGCACTCTTTCGCGTTATATATAGGCTCCCGCCACTTCCGGCGCATGCTAATTTTTTCCTAACAAAGAAGGCTGCCGGATTTTTCAACAAAAACTTAATTTTAATGTTGAAAATAGCATAATTTGAAAAATCTGATATGCGTGCAGTCATCTCGGGGCCGTTACGCACCTAATGACGTATCATACGTAGCTTAAGACCTTTCCCCTCTTGAGATATCCTCCGGACACGGTGACGGAAGTTGCATGCAAATGCACACACACACACACACACAGGAACTATTTTTTTATATACCAGGGTTGAAAAACCGCTTCGCGGCTTTTCAACCCTGGCCCCGTTTGACTCTTCAATTTGCATAATATTGCCCGAATTGCGAAGACAAAAAATGAAAAGCGCCCCCTCCGTCCCTTGATATAGGCGAGCGCAACTTCCGGTGGGTTCTAATTTTTCCTAACAAAGAGGCCGAGCGAGATTTTCACAAAAACCTATTTTTAATATCGAAAACAGCTCATTTTAAAAAATTTGATAGGTGTGCAGTCGTGTCATGACCATTACGCACCTAATGACGTATCATACATACCCCTAGCTGCTTCCTTTATTGAGATACGACTGGAACATACGGACGGAAGTTGCATGCAAATGCACACACACACACACAGACACTATTTTTTTATATATAGTAGGATAGTAGGATAGGAAATTTTCGAACATTTCCAGACTGGTAGGTCGAAAATGTAGGCAAATTCCCCAAAAAGCCAGATTTTCGAATTTTCAAACTTCAAAAATATTTTTAATAACTTTATAGCGATAACTACTACAATAAAAACTCCGAAAAACACTATTAGTATAACATCAACAGTTAGGGACAGGTCACCCCTGCTCGACCCACCCCCCGCTAACAGTCCAGAACCAAACTAGCTCGTTTTAGCCGCCTGGGCTCAAGCCTGCGAGGGTGATCGCTGCAACAAGCTGTCGGTTGACGAGCTGAAGAAGATTGCCGTCGAGATGAAGGCCGAGGACGCCAAGGACGACAAGGACGCCAAGAAGTCGAGTGGCTCGTCCACCTCCGCCATGTTCCCCGTCATCGCCTTCCTCGTCGCCAATATGCCAGCTTTCTTCTGAATTGATTTGTGTTGGTGTGAATAAATCTGCGAAACGCCATCATGGGGGTCACAGCACGTCAGGCACGGCTTCGCTATATATGCACCGCGACATACAGATTTGAAAAGTCTTTTGAAGTGAATGAAGAGCATGCATTTTTGGTGTCGATAGGAGTTTTCGGCGCGTTTCCGCTAAATTGCGGATAGTTGTGGCGGTATTTTTGGATTTTAATTCCTTACGAGATGGGTAGAACTCTGTGGTGATGGCGGCTGAAGCGTTTGACTAGAGGTCGGAGGCCCCTACGTTGATTCCTGGTAAACAGCCAGATGCGATCCTCACCGGATTTTGAGCATTCTAGACTTTTCAATTTATGAAAACCAGCCGATTACAGCCGCTTCGCGACTGCAATCGGATGGACTTCGGGCCACCCTCCATATTCTACACCACCACATTTAATCCCTACTATACGCTGATGCCTTCATGGCAATAACTACACTGATGGCTTCAGATACCCCCCATGGCTGAATCCCCTTCAAAAACTACTTAGATACCTTCCTGATGGCTTTAGATACCCCCCCCCCCCATGGCTGAATCCCCTTCAAAAACTACTTAGATACCTCCCTGATGGCTTTAGATACCCCCCCCCCCATGGCTGAATCCCCTTCAAAAACTACCTAAATACCTCCCTGATGGCTTCAGAAACCTCCCCTAGCCGAAATCCTTTTAAAAAACGAAAATAGCGACCGACCGGATGGAATGAGAGAAAAAAAGAAATGAAATCCTCCGTGAAAATTTTCATCCACGAAACGCGCGCGACCTAGCTCACTATGCGAAAATCGTGCCAACCTCCGCCCCCCACCCCTTTTACTAAGGAAAAAACTTTCGAGTTGAATTCGGCTTCAGACACACACACAGACAGACAGACGTCTTTACTTTTTTATTATAGTGATTGCTTTGAGAATCACCGAGATCGAGAGATTGCGTGCCTTATAAGGCATTACAAAATGTAATCGCCGCGCACTCAAAAAGTCGTTTTCGGCTCGAGAACTTTTGAATCTTACTCACATATTTTACGCTTTCTCGAAACGTACTATTTTGACCTCCAAGCCCCTTCAAGGAATGGCCAGCAGACTTTCGCCGCGCACCAATGATCTGCTATGCCCCCGACAAGAGAATAACTTCCCGCAGACATCAGAGCTGGAGGCACGCCTACCGGGGGGGGGGCACTTTCAGAGGGGCGCTCTAAAAATTTTTGGCGACCTTCGCCCTTCGCATCGCTTTCAAAACGGGCGCCGCAGTCGAAAGATTAGAAATGACTTAACTAACAGCGCCGCACGCACAAAAATTTGGAACGTGGTGTAATTTAGAGCGCCGCCGCCGGAAATGTGTTATCAGACATTTTTTTTTTTAGAAAATTGCAATCACCGGGGTCGCCTTTCCTAACGGCCTGATCGTGTCTACAGGGTGTCCCAAAAAAAGCGCCCCTCGAGCCGCTCGCAGACGTGCCCGATTTTCACCATTTAGGTATCTATCGAAAGCTCTCGCAAAGACGAGAAAACAAAGAGGATTCATTGATCTTATTATGTATTTTTATTAGCGAATTTGACCTTCAAAAACCCTGAAGGCGGATCTGCATGCTAATTGCGAAATTCCTATTTAAAAGCTAGCTCTTTGTTTAGAGAAGTGTTGAATGTCGGAACAATGAGGAAAAATCTTAGAAAACAAAGCGAATGATATAAAAGCCATCCAAACCTGAGTTTCCCCTGGACCGCTAGGGGGGGGGGTTGCTTTTTCTGGGACACCCAGTAGAAGAAATATCGTCCTTGTGCCGCCGCTAATGAGTTACTTTTTTACTGTTTTAGCCCGAATCGGAATTTCTAGAAGTGCCGCACCGAGAGCCCAAAACCCTTACGCTAGTCATTTTCGGGATCCATCCTCAGATCGAACTGACCAAAAAAGGTCGCGCAGTGGAAGTGTGACTCTGCATCGAAAGACAGTTCATCAGCCCGCTTTTGCGCTGATTCCGTCCACTCTGCAGTCAGTTTTTGCTCCCGCCTTCCGAATGAGCACAACAAACACTGTTTCGGTTCAATGAATGTAATTTAATGATGGTAAGATGTCGGGAGAAAAGTGGTGATTATCGACGAGCCGCTTACCAAACCAAAATCCACTATACAGGGTGTGCAAGAAAAAAAGACCACAGTTTGGGTCGAAATAACTCGCGAACGGTAGCGAATCGAAGGTACGTTACCATGCCAGAATGCTTAAATATGCTGGGTATGAAGATTTAACACAACTTGATTTTTTCGATTTTTGAGTACGAAACTGTACTATTGACGCTGGTTACGACCGAAAATTGTGCGTTCTTGAACGAGAAGTGGGAAAATTCTGATTTTTGGCCTAAAAATAGTATAAATTTGTAGAAATGTAATGGCAAATTTATCGAGGTCAATTTCATTTTTTAAAAGCAAAACAATTATCGCGAGTTTTCGTTATTTTTGTTCTTTGAGTCATAACTCGCTTATAACTCGCCGCCCATGGCTGATATTTTGTCAATGACCTATCCAAATATTAATCTCGGATTCCACACCAGATTCCACCACAATCTATGGTATTTTTGTATTGCTTGCTAAAACGTGCCCCAGCGGGGTACTGTAAGTTTCGTTTTTCCCGCTTTTCTCGGGGCCCCTAGCTTCGATCCGGCTGAAATTTTCTGGGTTGTTAGGCAATAAGTAGGGGCACCTTACTGCCAAATACGAGAGCGTACTATCCACAAACTTTCATGAAAATGACTAAAAACTGATTTTTTAATTCTGCGGCAGAATTTTGTAAATTTTTGGTCAATTGGCCCAAAAACTGCAATTATTGCTTTTTACGAAAAGATCGAAGCGATTCCATGGCAAAAACACCACGAAAATCGCAAATTTCGGTTTTCTACAGTAACCCACGTGGAGCGCGTTTTAGCATGCCATCACAAAATTCCATAAATTGACGATTTTTCAATTCGAGGGCCTTCTAGAGGTGATTGTAAGATAGCCTGTCAAAAATTACTGAGTTTTGGTGGTAAATAACAAAGTTACGAGGCCAAGTGCAAAACAAGGGCAGAGAGCGGATTTTGGGTCCGAGTAGCTGGGCCAATTTTCGAAATTTTAAAAATAAAAGAACCACCTGCATCTTATGGATACGATTATAGCTTTGATGTTATTATCTACGCCCGTAAAATTTGGGGGCAATCCGATTCAAAATTATGGTGACTTTCAGCTCAAAATCGAAGGTCACCCTATTCCAAAATCGAAGTTTAGAAATCTTCTTAAAATGTTTGCGACGTTAAATTGCTTTAATCTTTGCATAGTTTTATTCAACTGATAGCACAGACTTATTGCTCAAAATATCCCTACGAGTCTACCTTCCAAAATTTTTTGACGCAACCTCCAATTCGGTTTATTTCGGGTTTTGATGAATTTTCTTGGCGCCAACGCCTGGTTAAACAAATTCATGAATAAGGCTTTAGGATGCGCTATTCAAATTATATCAGATAAAAATAAAACGAAAATTTTCAAAGCGCGACTAAATTTTATAAAATGGTGACAATATTCGGAAAAAAAGTACGAACGAACTGTTTTGGAGGCCCTAAAAGACGCCCTTCCAAAGGGGTACGGTGGCTCGAAAGTCTGTAGATGTTAGATAAACCCTAGAACTCCATAGCTACGCAAAGAAAACAGCTGATTCCCCTTTGGCAATTAAGAAATACTTTTCCAAAGTTGGATTTCGGGACCTCGAAAAATCCATGACCAGGGGGTCGTTGAAAAACTCGAAAATTCGTCGATCTCAAAAAATTCCTTAATATGTTTATGCGATTGTGTCAAGCCCGTAGGTATTCCACAACAACTGATTTTGAGGTTTTCGCCATAGGTTTTTTCAATATTAAAAATTTTCGAAATTTCTCCATACAAAATTTCATTCCTCTCTAACTTTTCAACCAGACCCTCAAAAATTCTTAAATCTTGTAGGTACATATCTGCTGCCGAAATTAACTTACTTAATAAAAACTAGATGCCAGCCACCACAGGAAACTGAGAAAAATACAAATGAAGTTTCCCCGAACGCACAGTTTTCGGGTGTCATTTGTATTGATACGTCGCCAAAAATCGAAAAAATCAAGTTGTGGTAAATCTTCATACCCAGCATATTTAAGCATTCTGGCATGGTAACGTACCTTCGATTCTCTACCGTTCGCGAGTTATTTCGACCCAAACTGTGGTCTTTTTTTTGCACACCCTGTATACCCTACTATATAATAAAAAAATAGTGTTTGTGTGTGTGTGTACCATTTTCATCCGCTTCCGTCTGTCTGTCCGGGGGATATAGTGGAAGGATTTTAAGGTACGTATGATACGTCATTAGGTGCGCAATTGTCTTGAGATGACTGCACATATATAAAATTTTGCAAAATCACCTATTTTCGACATTAAATTTAAGTTTTTGTGAAAACTTCTTTGTTAGAAAAATCAGCATAGACCGGAAGTGAGGATTCGACTATATAAACGGTCAGAAGAGGTGGTTTTTCATTTTTGTCATCAGAATGCACGGTAATTATGCAAAGGTTTAGGATAAAATGGGGTCAGAATCGCGAAGCGGCTTTTCAACCCTGGTAAATTTCTAATGTCCGTCCGTCCGTGTGACCGGGAATTCAGCCAAATTTTGCATGCAAATTCAACATTCAAATTGTGGGATGCGGGGGGGGGGTCGGCGCTGGTTCAGGGTGGCCCAAAAAAAACAACAGGTTTGGGCTCGATTATCTCGAGAACCTTAATGAATTCATGGTGGGTTGATGGCTGAAAACCATTTTCTCGGCCTGGAAAAGAAATAAAACACAACTTGATTTTTTCGATTTTTGAGTACGCAACTGTACTATTGACGCCGGTTACGACCGAAAATTGTGCGTTCTTGAACGGGTGGTGGGAAAATTCTGGTTTTTGGCCTAATAATAGCTGATATTTGTAGAAAGGTAATCCTCAATTCGTAGAATTTTTCAAGCTCTAGTTCTTTTTTTACAAGCAAAACAAATTTCAGTATTTTGCAGCTTTTTGCCTTTTAAAGGGCACGTTCAGGGACGTTTTTTGGAAAAAAGCAAAGATTTTTGCCGCGGCCGGGGGTCGAACCCGGGCCCCCCGCTCGGGAGGCGCGGATGGATACCAGTCAGCCACAGCTACAACCTGGCGAGGGGGCGAGGGGCGCCCCACGCCGCAAAGGAGGGGAATGGCCTGTCCCAGCACGGGCAGGCGGTGCGCGCGGTCCCTACGTCCATAGGGTGTATACGTTGGGACGAGTATACGGCCCCTCCCTGAACGTGCGCTTTAATTCGCAACTCGCTTCAAATACGCTGCCGATGGCTGATTTTTTGCAGATGGTGTCTCCGAATGATAATCTTTAGCACAACACCAAATTTTACCTGATTCTATGGTATTTTAATATTGCTTGCTAAAACGTGCCCCAGAGGGATACTGTAGTTTTCGTTTTTCCCGTTTTTCTTTTTATTGTAAGCTGCGATTTCGCTGAAAATTTTATCATTGGTAAACACCAGTAAGGGTCACCTGTGGGCTAAATATCGCGAAGTTCTAGCCATACACCTTCCCAAAATATGCAAAAAACCTATTTTTGAATTTAGCCACGGAAATGTCTAAATATTTTGATGCATGGGACGAAAAACTACTATTATTTGTTTCCCTGAAAGAACGAAACGTTTCTATGGTGAAAAGAACGAGAAAACGGCGATTTTCTGTTTTCTACCGTAACCCGCCTGGAGCGCGTTTTAGCATGCCTAGAAAAAAAATGCCATAAAATGCCAATTTTTCTATTCTAGACTGTTCACTGAGCGATTCTAACAGCACCTACAAAAAATTACTGGACTCCTGTGGCAAATGATAAAGTTATGAGGGAAAGTGGAAAACCCTCCTCGGGGCCCGATTTTGGACCCGAGGCCCCGGGCCGAAAATCGAATTTTTGAAAATGAAAAAGGCACCGGGGTTTGGTGGATACAATTAAAGCACGCATCCAACAGTGTATGAGAGCAAAATTCTGGAATGATCTGGCTGAAGTTAATGGTTAATTTTGATCTAGGACCGGAAAACAACGTTTTTGAAAAGCCGACTTTGGGGCGCTCCTCTAAATTCGTTTGCCACGAAAAGGTTTTGTATTTGCATGGATTCTAGTTGACTACCCAAGCTTGGTATATGCCAGAAAAGTCGAGGCTACTAGAGCTTCGAGAATTTTTTTACGTCGCCTCAAAGTCGCGTATATTTGGGCTTTTCATGAATTTCTTTTCAGAGATTGGATGGCCCAATAAATTTGTTAATATCATCTTTGAACGCGCCCATTAAGTAGTATCTAATAAAACTATGACAATAATTCTAGCCGCGCTATTGAATTTTATAGATTGGCACGGATGCTTGCGAAATAGCACGAACCAACCGTTCTGGAACACTAAAAGTCAACCTTCCGAAGGTGTACGGTAGCTAGCAGTTGTCTACATAATAGATGGGCCCCAGTCCTACACAACCAAGCAAAGAAAACACCTAGACTAAACACCTATTTAGAATCTTAGAACTATTTTTTGAAAGTTCGGTTTCGTGACCCGGAAAAAATCCATGACCAGGGGGTCGTTGAAAAACTCGAAAAATCACCGATCTTAAAAAAGTCTTTAATATGTTTATGTGGTAGTATAGAGTTTGTAGGCAATCGGCAACGACTTCGTTTGAGATTTTCACCATAGGTTTTTTTAATACCCAAAATTTACTAAATTTCTCCATACTAAATTTCAGTCCGCTATAACTTTTCAACCAGACCTCAGAAAAATCCTAAATTTTGCATGTATCTATCTATTGCCTACAAGAATTTACACAGCAAAAATTAGAAATCCCCGCCACAGGTGGCTGAGAAAAATTAAATTAAACTTTCCCGGAACGCACAGTTTCCGGGTGTCATTTGTATTAATACGTCGCCGAAAATCGAAAAAATCAAGTTGTGTTTTATTTCTTTTCCAGGCCGAGAAAATGGTTTTCAGCCATCAACCCACCATGAATTCATTAAGGTTCTCGAGATAATCGAGCCCAAACCTGTTGTTTTTTTTTTGGGCCACCTTGTATATTTTTAAGTTGCCGAGGTTGAGTTTACAAATTGTCTGGTGTAGCGTGTCGAGACCCTTTTATTGCGGAACGACATACAATCGACAGCCGGTGAGCAACAAATACAAAGCACAAAATACTCTATACGACTAGACAATGCGGGTGATGAGGCAGGCGACGACGGGGAACACGATCATGGTGTAGCCGATGCGGTTGGTGCTCTTCGCCAGCTGCTCCAACTCTTCCATGGGCATCTTGTTGCACAGATGCCCCTCGCACGAATCCACCACGTAGCGAACTGAAAGAAAAATAAAATTATTGGGGTTCATTCGTGTTAACGGGGAGAGGGGGTTTAACACGGCGACACCATGTTTTCCACAATAATTCCGCACGGGCCTTTAACAATCTATAAACCACCAGATGGTTACAGTCGCTTGGCGACTGCAACCATCTGGCCTTCCGGGTACCCTACATGTCCCACTCCACCACATCCTTTCCCACCTCCATCAATACCCCCATAGCCGAAATCCCCTTCAAAAACTACCTAAATCCCTTACTAATGGCTTCAGATACCCCCATGGCTGAAATCTCCTTCAAAAACTACCTAAATACCTTCCTGATGGCTTCAGATACCTCCCCTAGCCGAAATCCTTTTAAAAAACGAAAATAACGACCGACCGGATGGAATGAGAGAAAAAAAAGAATGAAATCCCCCGTGAAAATTTTCATCCACGAAACGCGCGCGACCTGGCTCACTATGTTCAAAATCACCCCAACCTCCGTCCCCACCCCTTTTACTAAGGAAAAAACTTTCAAAGTTAATTTTAATAATTTTAACTAAAACTTTTTCATAATTTTTTATCAGTTTGGGGGTTTCTGACCACGCTCTATCCGAATCCGAAGAGAGCTAGGCTCTAGCTCCTTTCCCCTTCGAGTTGAATTCGGCTTCACACAGACGGACGGACGGACGGACAGACGCGTCAAGAAAATTATTATAGTTGATTTTTATAACATTTTACAAAGTTTTTAGATATAAAAACATTAGTAAAAAATTTGAAGAAGTTTCATAAATTTTTGTCTTTTTGGTCAAAAATGAATAAAAAATGGCCAAAAATGTCAAAATGCCGATTTTTCAAAAAAATTTAGATTTTTAGAACTTTCTACCAATCAAAAACCACTAAAAATATCATAAAAACGCTTTAGCTTTTATCTAAAGCCAGGTATAGGCGGGGAAATAAAAAAGAAATGATTTTTGGCTTTCGGGTTAACAAAGGGATTATTTTTGATTTAGGGGAATAGTGAACAACGTGGCGCGCGTTCGAGGACACGGGCGTGCCGTGTATTTTCTATATTTCAATTTTTTTGCTATTTTTTTCGAGTCGAATCCAAGACAAAAGCCTCCAAACTTACTCATTGGGGCCTCGGCCGGCTTCACCTCGCTGCCCACCTTCCAGCCCTTCGCCAGAAACGCCTTGGACGCAGTGTTTCGCAAGATGGCGTGCTTGTATTCGCCGCGTTCTTTGCCAATAAAGTACGCCTGGATGCACTTGTCGCCCGGCGACTTTTCTGTGATTTCCTGTAAAAACTCTTGGTGATTAAGACGCCGTTTGCAGGTATATATCGGCTAAGCCGGGGGGTACTGTTAGTATATTTTTCGGCGCTCTGTCCAATGGCACTAAAGACCTTTTGTAAAAATGTCGCAATATCGAAAACTTGCTTTCCTTCTATGTCCTCCATGGAAACAACGTTTAATACTTGTTTTTTTCATAACTATTTTATATTACATTATTTTCAACTAAAATTAAAACTCTTAGTATATTTTTAGATGCTCTATCGAATGGCATCTGTAAAATTTCGGAAAAACAGCCGCTCAATCCGATTTTCAAAGCTTATTGTTCTATTTGCCATAACTTTTCTTTAACACACTGATTTGAGCCAAAACAAAAAATTTTCGTATATTTTCCGATGCTCTATCGAATGCCGTTGAAAAAATTCCGAGAAATAACGAAAACATCCAAAAAGGCCTGCCTGTCCCGTCCCCCCCCGCGTAAGGCCAAATTGTCCCCCCGCATAACCGACATATACCCGTTTTTAGGTTCATTACCAGGGTTGAGAGCCGCTTCGCGACTTTTCAACCGACGGCCTCGGGAGAGAGAGGCGCGACGACGCGACAATGAAAGGAACGCGACGAGAAAGAGGTTTTTACAAAAACCTAAATTTAATAGCGAAAATGGCTAATTTTTAAAAATCTGATATGTGTGCAGTCATCCCTAGACCATTGCGCACCTAATGACGTATCATACGGAGGCCTAATACCCGTCCTTCTTGAGATATCCTCCGGCAGACGGACGGAAGTGGATGCAAACTGCACACACACACACACACAAACACACACAAACACACACAGACACTATTTTTTATATATATAGTAGGGTTATCATATCGTACTACAAACTGTTGTTTCTGGAGTGACTCTGGCCTAGCCTTAATAGTATAACTATCATGTAAGCTAACGATCGCGACTGCCAGAAAAAAGTGAACCAATAGAAAAAGCCGCACCTCAACCGTGGTGCAATTCTTGTGCGACTGGATGTAAGCGCCGTCGAGGTAGTTGTAGTCGGGGCTGAAATCATTGGTATGGATGAATTACCTACATAATGCTGATTTTCATAATGCCGACTATTTCATAATGCCAATTTTACATAATGCCGATCTTCATAATGCCGATTTTTCATAATGCCGATTTTCATAATGACAACTTGGCGTATTTTGCAGGGTGTTAAACAATTGTCCTCCTTGATAAATCCTAGTGAACGAATCCCAAATTTTCCGGAAAGGTTAATATTAACGCAGATGAAAAATACCTTTGAAAATAGGAAAACGCCGCTTGTCCTAGGCAATTACCCTGAATCAAAAATCATCCATCAAACAGTCAGGCTCTCGATACCCGTCAGGGGAAAATATTTTCATGGAAATTCTGTTAGAATTTTGTATAACAAATAAAGCTAGAAGCTTCATTAGAACGACCTGGAATCGATTACGAAAAACTAGGGCATAATAAATACTGTTATTTCGCTGGGGGAGGGGGGAAACTGTACGGAGGGGGGGTGGGGAAATTTTCTTCGTTTTGTTATAACTCTTTTATATGATGCTATTTTGAGTTGTAATTAAAACTCTTAATTTATTTTTTAACGCTCTATCGAATGGCATTCAAGGAATTTGTGAAAGATATAAAAAATGTCGTAAACTAGCTTTTGACCAACAGCCCCATGTGGAAACAGCGTGTAAACTTTGTTTTTGCTATAACTATTTTATAAAAAAATATTTTAGATGAATTTCAAACTCTGCGTATATGTTTTTGATGCTCTATCGAATGACGGGTTCAAACTATCGAAAAACTTGCGAAAATGCCGAAAAATAACATCTCGGCACTAGTTTCATTTTTTTTTGTTTTTGCTATAACTTTTTTATATTACTAATATTTTAACCAAAACGACTCTTAGACGCTTAGTATATTTTTCGACGCTTTATCGAACAGCGTTGCAAAAATCCCGAGAAAATAGAGAGAGAAGATGGAAGTCTCCGCAGAAGCATATCCCCCGAGAACCGGTATAATGTAAAATCGGCAGTATGAAAATCGGCGTTATGAAAATCCACAAATGCGCATTATGCGTGTATACCGCATGGATTCCTGTGACCGTTACACCCTTGGCTAGAGCGCGCTTTACCCCCCCCCCACCCCGGGTGAACGGCGCCCATACCACGCCCTCTCTGGCGTACGAGGTTGTCCCAGTTACTTACTTGATGGCGATAGCGAAAAGGGGCCCAAGGTCGCCATCTACGCACCGGTAGCAGTCGGCGCGGGCCACGTTGATCAGGTAGAATCCAAGCAGGCAGGCGAGCAGAAGAAGAGCCGGAACGCGAGCCATCGTTTTTGGTGAAACAATGCCTGGCGGCGGCGCAATATTTCTCTACCAAGATTCATATGGAATTCCGACGGATTGACGGTGACGGATTGAAATCAGTTTTAAAATGTTAATTTGGCCATCAATACCTGATATAAGCAACCGTTGCATCGGATTTCGTCAAGGGATCCCATTCTACAAGGTGTTTCCGAGTGATTGTGAGCCGTTTGAACTGCTAAAAATCGTTGCGATTGCTCAAAATCACGAAAAATGGCTCCCTCCCTCTAATGCAATTTCCTCCCATGACTAGGGGAATGGTCTCCGCCCGGCCTCGAATTTCCGGCTTGCAGCTTCTGTGCAGAAACTATGATAAAAAGTTGTCCACGCCCTGCAGAACGCCAAAACGAGGCTTCCGGGCGAAGCTGAGCGGAAAGAAGCTCCTAGTGAGGGGACTAAAAAAATAGAACCCCGGGGTTATATTAGAGGAAGTACGGAAGTACCACGCTGTACTAATGATGTCCCAAAACCCATGTTTTGCCACAAAAACTAGCGTTTCCGGCGCGCCCACCAAATTTATTCACATCACAAAGGCAAATCAGAAGAAGGCAAGGATATTGGAGGCGAAGAAGGTGACGACGGGGAGCACGAGGTACGAGGCCGTCGACGAGTGCTTGGCCGCTTCTTCAGCGCGCTGCTTCAATTCGGTCATCGGCAGCTTGTTGCACGGATCACCCTCGCATGCTTGCTCCGTCACAGTGAGGTGACCTAAATGAGCTCAGCTCAAAATTCCAATCCGTATTTCTTCCGATCACCGCCTGTGTTCGCTGATCAGAACGAAACTTACCGTAAGACTCCAGATACCCCCCCCCCAACTTTTGTATCTCCGCTCCCTGTTCATCTACAGCAAGTATACCAAAATTTTCGTCTTACTCTGGCGAGTATTTTGGTATACTTTACACACCGGTAGATGAACAGGGAAGCGGAGCTACGGTAGGTGGGTGTCGGCGGGGGGGGTTATCGGGAGTTTAGCGAAACTTACTTCCAGGGATCTCCTTGCGTTGGTAGCCCGTCGTCCAGTTCGTCAGCAAAAATCCCGTGGCGCAGGTGCGGATCTCCAACTGCTTGATGATCGCTTGGTCATTCTTCTTCTCCAGGTGAGCGTGGGAGCACTTGTTCGTCCCCGTGCACTCTTGTCGAACCTGAACAACGTGAACACGTCAGTGTTGCGACTCTGGCCGAAGAATTCACCTTCACATTCTCGCAATCACTAGACACCTCGACGCCATCGAGGATCGCCAGCCAGATGGCCCTGAACCGAGGAGAGTTCAAGATTGCGCCCGGAAGGGACTGATTTTTGCATATGCTACGTGGTTCTGGACCGTTAGCGGAGGGGCGGGGGTTAGCAGGGGGAAAACCAATTTCCGTTTTTGCACCTGTTGATTAGCCATTAAACATTGAAAGTTTTTAGTAGTTTTTGGTTTTTTGAAAGTTATACAAAAGATTTTACAAATTTCGAAAATTCGGAAATTTTGACCCATTTTGGTTATTTTTTAACATTTTTGAGCAGAAAGTTAAAATTTTCGAAAATGTTTATAACTTTTCTAGTTTGTATATCTATAAACTATGTAAAATGCTATAAAAATAGTTCAGATTTTATTCCAGGGCCGTAGGGAATCATAGGGGAAAATTTGACGATCTTCCACCCTTAGAAAACGCGGTACCCCGGGGAAATCGTCCCTTTTCCTTCCAATGACGTATTGAGGAGTGCGATAAAATACAAGCTTACAACTTTTGCGTAATACTAAATTAAGTAATTTGTATAATAAAAAGAAAATCCAAAAATATCCCAGACTTCTCCACGTCGTTGTCGCCAAGGGTTTCCAGGTCGCCCTGCATGCAATTGTAGCAGTCGGCGTGGCCCAGGTCGATCAGGTAGAAGCCGAGCAGGCAGGTGAGCAGAAGAAGAACCGGAACGCGAGCCATCGTTTTTGGTGAAATAATGCTGGTAGTGGTGGAATCTCTATGTACCTGGAATCACAGCGACTTTGTGGATGGCTTCCGGTTTCCAGATGGAGATTTGGTTGCGAAATGTTAATTTGGCAACCAATATTTGAGTGTTCTTTTTGTGCTTTTTCATACATTTTTTCGCCAAACATTCAAAAATTTTTCAAAAAAAAATTTTCAATATTTTTAATAATGTTTTTCTATATCAAAAGACTATGCAAAATCTATAAAAACTGTTTATATTTTAAGCTGTAGTGAATTAGAGGAAAAATTTGGTTCACCCCCGCTAACAGCCCAGAATTTCGAAGATACGCTACGCTCCATAGTTCCTTAGTATCTTGCTACATCGCCTTAATCAATTGTACATATCATTTATTTCAGGCGAACAATCAGAACACGACAATTAATAAAAAAAATCGCAATGTAGCACTAGAAAAATGCGAATAGTTGCGAATAAGGAGGCTGGATCGCAGGGAGCACGAAGTAGTAGTTGATGCGCCGGCTGTCGTTCGCCAGCTCGGCGGCCGATTCGACAATCTTCGGGGAGGGTCATGTTGTTGCAGCGCTCACTCTCGCACATCTCCAGCCACCAGCGGTCTGGAAAAAATCCAGCTGGCATTGGATTAAAGGGACCGGCGGGACAGGAAGATACGTTTTTTTGCTATGGATTCCAACGTTTTATGTGAGCTGCCGCGACACGCAGCGGGTACGCTGCTCGGTCCGTCGAGTACCGGGCGCAAGCGATGAGACGTGTGCTCTAAGTGTCTCACTCCACGGGGATAATCAATGGCGTTTAAAGAAGCGCGTAAGACACCACCGCGATTCTCTGGGACTTTGGCCGCTTGGCGAGCCTTGTAGCGCATCACGACACGTAACGCACGAGTCACCCGGCCGGTTGTCAACCAAGGTAGCGCTCGAGCTAACGCAAACCAAAGACCAAAGACCGCGCTGCGTCACGTAAAGCGCACGCCGATTTAAAAAGAGATTTAACAGTCGTAATGCCCTACGCAATCAAAAATTGAGCGCCGCGACCAAATGAAGACAGCTTAGGCTTAGACTTGGGTACAGTAGCTAAATATGTACACGTACGCATCGGCTGCTTCAGCTTCTTCGTCACTCGCGCCGGCTTCCACTTGTCCCGCAGATACTTCAGAAAATCCTCCGAGGCACAGTTTCTGACAACGACCGTCGTCTCCCAGTCGGCCTCAAAGTACGCGTGGATGCACTTGGCGCCCAGGCAGGTTTTCATGTCGTTCTGCAAGTGATTATTGGACCACTGAGTACAGCCAAGTTGTCATTATCATTGATTTAACACGTTAAGAAAAAGCTAATAACTACCGTTACATTCC